CCCCCCCCCCCCCCCCCCCGTTACAAGACTTAATATTAGACTGTAGACTTTAAGGTGGGGGGGGAAATGCATCCCCCATTCTGGCACCAGACCTCAGCCAGGCACTGCCCAGTGTGGGAGAGGGAGCCAGCAGCATGGGGCTTTCCTCCCCCTGCTCATTTGGAGGTGGGTGCCAGGAGCTGGGAGTCCGGCTTGATTCCTGCAGCCATGCCCCCTCCTCAGCTTTTGGACCTGCTGAGGAGGGGGCTGGCAGAGAACTCACTTCCCCAACCCAGCACCAGACCTCCCAGCTGGGTGCTGCCCAGTATGGGGGGGAGGGGGAGGAAGCCTAGAGAGGGGACTTTACTCTCCCTGTCCACCTAGAGCTGAGACCTGAGCTTGAGTCCCCCAGCTATGACCCCTCCTCAAGCCTGGCTCCCAGCTCCAGGTGGGCAGGGGAAGTAAAGCCCATGCCATGTGCTGCCCCCCCCCCCATGCCAGGCAGCACCTGGTTGGGGTTTGGTGCTACCAGGGGAGCGGGTTCCCCCCCTCAACCCCCCTTAGCCAGCCTGAGGTGTGATAGTGCTCTAGCTAGGAAGCAGAGGAGCAGGGCAGACCCTGTTCCACTGAAGTAGACAGCACTGCCTAGGGCTGCAAAGCATCCTGGGACGCTGGAGGACTGTGAGTTAACTTAAGTCGGGAGGAGATCTGGGACAGAAGTTCCATAAACTGGCTTGTCCGAAATCAGTTAAGTCTGATACTATAACCAACCAGGTTTATCTTAAAACGGTTTTGGCCATTTTAAAAGCTGTTTAAGTGCACTAAACTTCTGTTCTGTTACAGGTTTAAATTGGTTTCTGATCACTTAAACTGGTGTATGTGTAACTTCTGTCCCTAGCCTTAAAACTAAATGGACTTTTCTAGGGACCCCAATTCAATACAGAAAAAGGGAGGGCTTCCTCTCAGTCATGGAGTTGTTACTAGAAAGAACTAAACTGGATGATAAATTCCTCAGTACTGCTTTCCAACCCGGGCCTGTTTCCATGTGCACCTCACAGATTGGGCACAGTCCAACCACCAGCACTGATCTAAATATCCCCTATTCTGCTATCTAATGGAACATTTCCGACCCTCAGCGCTCCCCTCTTTGCAATGGTCCTTGCTTCCAGAAACAGGAGGGTGGTGTTTGGTAGGAAATGTGAACACAAGCTGTTTGTGGATAGGAGAGGAGTTAGTCAGTGGAGCCAGAAGGGGAAAGGGGCAAGTATTCTGTGTTGGTGGGGAAAGGAGGTACAGGGAATTATGAGATAGACTGTGTGTATGTATGTGGGAGGGGGAGGATTTAAGATGCAAAATTACTTCTCCACTTAATGACAGCAGTGCTGAGCTCTTATACAGCAGCTGAAGTAACCCTAAGACACAGAATGAAGAGTAACTTATTATGCCTTCATACATGAGTGACCAATATGACAACAGAACCCAGATTTCCTGACCTGTGGGGCCCGCAAGCTATTGGAACTGCCTACATAAAGCAAGGACTGTAAAAAAAATGCATATAAATTTACATTATGGAAAAAATATAAAACAAATCCTAAAGCTTGCCAATATTGAGCCATTAAGTTTTAAATAAAAAGTGCATTGAATTTTTATTAAAAATTTAGAGCAGTAGTTGTTTTCTTCTTTGCTCCTGGGAACTACCCATTATGTATCACTGCGCATTCTCAAAATGCAGTGCAGGGTGATTTTTTTCTCTCTTTTGGGGAGGAGGAGTGAAAGAATTGACTTATTAAAAGAACTGTTTCAGATTGTATCACATTGTACTAGAGCCAAAGCTTTAAATGTCTGGAAACTTCACACCTTGTCTGTATTATTCTCACTGTTCAAATGAGTACTTATGGTATATAACACCATTAGAACAAATTAAGTATACTGTTACAGCTTTTATAATTTTATCTAATTCAAGTGAGCAGCCCAAGTGTTGGCACTTCATTAATTTCAGCTAAATATTTTCCTAAAGATACACTTGGGTGCTTTGTTTCTGTAACAGTTATAAAAAGCATAAGAATAGAGCTTTTTATGTGACAAATTTATATTGTTTCTTCCTTACTGGATTAAGTAGAGTTTGGGATAAGCTTCTCTTCCCACAATTAAAACCTCCCTCCTTCTCCTTTATTCTGGAAAGCCCATGGAAAACAATAGCACTTGTGCTTTCCATATTCATTCTTAGCTACTGCTGATGAAGTTCAGACTACTGCATCTCTGCTTCTGAGAATCCAAGCTGTTTTTACTAGTTTGGTTTTACATT